CAGGACTCGTGGATGATCACCGGGCAGCTGCGGCAACTTTGCACAGGATGCGGAGCACGCTGCCTGGTCACGTGACAGCCATGCGCTTTGTTTGCAGCCCCCCTCCCCTCCAGGGGGGCGGCGCGTTGGGGTCGCTTCGTGACCGCTTCGTGACGTCATTTAATTGGGGGTCCAACCCCGTCACGAGTTCACCGCCTTGCGCTGCGGCTCTTGAAATATTTGATTGATTTTTTTTGTTCTTTTGCCGAATTCCAACAAAAACAAATCAATGTCTAAATAAAACAAAATATGTATTGCTCCATTTGGTTGTTTGCCGACGGCAGGGCCATGCCCTCTGCGACGACGATGAGCTGTCGAAGACGTGCTAAATGTATTCGATGTCAGCGTTTTTGGTTCACGCGTTCACAAAGTTACGTCGAACACGATTGCCTTGGGACGCGCGCGCGAGGCGTACGATGTGCATGTCCCGTGGTTGCAGCTAGCGGTGTGCTACCGGGCAATTTAACGGGTAGGAGTAGGGCTTTGCGACCAATATAATCCACAATAAAGGTTTGTTTCATGATAGATCACGTACATATAAATGTGTCGTCAAACCCGCCACTTCAACACACCGGTGGTGCTGAACTCGTGAACTAACTGGCATGTGTCGGGTGGTGGCGGGTTTTACGACACCTTCATGGTTACTCCCAGGCCGTGTGTGTACACGACTGAAAGTTTGATTGAAAGCTTTCGCGACTGCAGGGATTCATAGTCTTGGTTCTTTCGGTAAAGTCACGTAGAAGGGAAATAACCAAATAATATTTTTTATATTTATATTATTTTGTTATGGAAGGTAAACAATAATATTGTTTTATATTTATATTATTTTGTTATTTCCCTTCTATAACAAAATAATATAAATATTAAAAATATTATTGTTTTATATTTATATTATTTTGTTATTTATCTTCTACGTGACTTTACCGAAAGAACCAAGAATATACACACGACTGCTCCAGATTCACCCAATAATGCCCACGAATACATTCACGGTGGTGGCGAACTCCACCAACTGCATCGTCGGAACAACATCAGCAGCAGGTCGATGCCACACATCTCCTTCACGAATGGAATATTGAAGACGCGAGTCACAGTGCTGTGCGACTGTGGCCATGCAACACAGACTATGGACCGTATGGTAAACCCATGGAGACGCACAGAGATACACAGGCATACATAGAGATACAGAGACATACATAGAGACCATAGCCATACATAGAGACCCATAGACATACATCGAGACCCATAGAGATACATAGAGATACATAGACATACATAGACATACATATATACCATAGCCATACATAGAGACCCATAGACATACATCGAGACCCATAGAGATACATAGAGACCCATAGACATACACAGCAAATCATTAAATACAAGCCCCAGTGAGATTGTGGCCATGCCACCCAGACTACGGACCGTATGGTAAACCCATATAGACACTAAGAGATACATAGAGACACAGATAGATACATAGAGACACAAAGAGATACGTATAGACACAAACAGATACATAGAGACACAAAGAGATACATATAGGCACAAAGAGATACATAGAGACCCAAACAGATACATAGAGACCCATAGAGATACATAGAGACTCAAAGAGACCCATAGAGATACATAGAGACACAAAGAGATACATCGGGATACATGAAAGACAATTCACAGTCGTGTGATTTTGGCCATACAACCCGCACGGCTGACCGCACAGTGGACCCACTGTGGTCGTCTGCGCTCCATCACTATAGGAGGAGGAGGAACAACGACACGACACGAAGTCTCTCTCTCTACTGAAGCCCTCTCGTCGTCGTGGCGAGCAGCAGCAGACCTCAACATTGGCATTGAACTCCTGAACAGTGACTTGCAGCTGCAGCTGCTGCTGCCATCATCACGCGCAAGCACAAACTAGGACCCCTTTTATCTCCAACAGCCTCCATCCGACGCACAGATGCAAAGACAAAGATCCCCCGCATAGGCTTCACAGACTTTTGGGGCAAGTGCTGTTAGCGAGTGGCACCTATGAAGGCCGGCACGGCACACAAGGGGGTGGGTGGCCAGCACCACGCCCGGCCGCCTTTGTCTCTATAATGGCGACACGTACAAATCGCACCAGGTACACATTTGAGGCCGAGTCGACCTACGGGAGACCCAGTGCCGGTCCAGATAGCCGTCACCGTTGTTGGCCGTGAGCGGGAATCGAGCTCGGGTCGCCTGGTTCATTACACTACCGCTCCCCGCACGCACAGATAGACACACACACAGATAAACACACACACAGATAGACACACACACAGATAAACACACACACAGATAGACACACACACAGATAGACACACACACAGATAAACACACACACAGCTAGACACACACAGATAGACACACACACAGAGAGACACACACACAGATAAACACACACACAGCTAGACACACAGATAGACACACACACAGATAGACACACACACACAGATAGACACACACACAGATAGACACACACACAGATAAACACACACACAGCTAGACACACACAGATAGACACACACACAGAGAGACACACACACAGATAAACACACACACAGCTAGACACACAGATAGACACACACACAGATAGACACACACACACAGATAGACACACACACAGATAGACACACACACAGATAGACACACACACACAGATAGACACACACACAGATAAACACACACACAGATAGACACACACACAGATAGACACACACAGATAAACACACACACAGATAGACACACACAGATAGACATACACACAGATAAACACACACACAGATAGACACACACAGATAGACAGCCACACGTGTAACCCGCAGACACACGCACAAAACACAGATTTCCCATGTAGACCTACGCACACTCGTGTTCTTTTTAAACTCCGCACCCGTTATTCACGATTCATTTTAGGCTGAATCGACCTAGGAGAGGTAAAGGAGCCGCTCAGATAACCGCCACTGATATGAGCTGTGGGCCAACACCAGTGGCAGAATTATACAACGTCTCAGGTCACCGGGTTTGTAACGCAGTGCGCTAACCACTGCGTCACCGCTCCTCACTTACAAGACACACACACACGTGGCTGTGTACCTTAACAAAGCGACCCTCGACCTTCAGTGGCTCTGTACCACGGCCACACACACACGACTTAGACGCAACGCACAAGGGGTTCATACACACAAACACAGAGGCAAAGATCCCACCCCCATATAGCCTGAACAGACTGTTGGGGCAAGTGTTGTAAGCAAGCGCCAATGAATGCCGACACAGCACACGAGGGCGTGAGTGGCCAGCACCACGCCCGGCCGTCTTTGTCTCCCCAGTGGTGATGTTTACACGCCACACCAGATACTAATTTGAGGCTGAGTCGACCTAGGGGATGCCCATAACCGGTTCAGATAATCATCACTGGTGTTGGCCGTGACTTGGAATGGAACTCGGGTCGTCGGATTCGTATCTCGGCGCGCTGACCGCTACAGTACACGACCGCTCCACACTCGAGGCACACACCAGCCTCATACAGACAGACGTGCATACAGGCACACACAGCAAGGCACGCTGCAATGTCACACTCGGGGCACGCATAGAGACTGTTGGGGCAAGTGCTGATAGCGAGCGTCAGAACCGCGAACATTGCGACCTCTGAATTAGCTACGTTTTTTTTGTGCCGAGGTGAACGCGAGAGCGAAGCTGCATGTCGTGTTTTAAACATTATCCCTTCCTCGGCGTGTGGGTAATCGTCAAGGAAGTTCCCAAGTGACGTGCCCTGCCACTCGAGGAGCGATAGACTTGTGCATCTACTCTGCTCCCCACTCCGGGAGGTTCGCGGAGGCAATAACAAATACATCAAATTCAGAACACTGTATAGACTTTGACCAATCATTATAGTCAACATCACCACCACCGCCACATGTATCGTCACAATCGTCACCAGCGCTAGCAGCATCGTCGCGGTCATGAAAATTGTTATCATCATCACCACCACCACCACTGACATAATTGACATGTCCAACTTTATCATCACTGCCATCGTTACGATCACCACTAAACACTACGACCACAATTACCGCCATCGCAACCATCATCATGAACGTTACAATGGTCTCCAAAGACAGAGACCCCCCGTATAGCCCTCACAGACGATAGGGGCAAGTGCTGTCAGTAGCGAGTAGCGCCTATGAGGGTCGACACGTCGCGTGTGGAGGCGGGTGGCCAGCACCACGCCCGGCCGCCTTTGTCTCCCCAAGTGGCGATGTTTTTACACACCGCAACAGGTACTTATTTGAGGCCGAGTCGACCTAGGGGAAGCCCAGAAACCCGTTCAGAAAATCGCCACTTGGTGTTGGCGGTGAGCGAGAATTGAAGACTCGGGTCGCCGGGTTCGCAGCACGGCGCGCTAACCACTGCACCACCGCTCCCCCCATAACGGCCACCACGACTGCGACCACGGCCAGAACGTGTTGCATCACCGCCATCACGGACTACCTCTCAGCACCTGCAAACAGTGACCCCGTATCGCCTTTATCATCACACTGTTGGGGCAAGTGCTGTAAGCGAACACCGCCACCACCACCAGCACTACCAAAAACAAAGATCCCCCGTATAGCCTTGAACAGACTGTTGGGGCAAGTGCTGTTAGCGAGCACCTATGAAGGCCGGCACAGCACACGAGGTGGTGGGTGGCTAGCACCACGCCCGGCCGCCTTTGTCTCCCCAAGTGGCGATGTTTTTACACACCGCACCAGGTACTTATTTGAGGCCGAGTCGACCCAGGGGAAGCCCAGGACCAGTTTACGGGTGTTGTCCGCGAGCGAGACTCGAAGTCGTCTCGCCGGGTTCGCAGTGCAGCGCTAACCGCTACCCCACCGCTCCCCCCCACACACCACTCGCACCACTCGCTCTGCGGCTCGCGTGGGGAGGGTGCAACGCCTCACCGGGGTTGAAGAGCACGATGCCCTTGAGGTAGGCGTACTCCTTGGGGTCGATGTCGAGGCGCCTGCACTTGTCCAGGAAGCTCTGCACCTTGTGGATGGCGTCCGCCTGCAGGCTCGCGGGAGACGCTCGCCCCGGGCTCGCCGCCGCTGATCCTGCGCGCTGCCTCAGCGAGCCGCCGATGCCGCCGCCGCCGCCACTGATGATGATGGGCTGAGGGCTGCTGCCGCTGCTGCTGCCGCTGCTGCTGCCACTGTTGTTGTTGTTGTTGCTGCTGTTGTTGTTTTTTCCGGGCGTCGCTGTGTTGTTGATGAGCAGAGGACTCCTGCTGTTGCTGTTCGTCTGCGGGCTAACGCAGCAGCTGCTGCTGCTGTTGTTGTTGTTGTTGGTAGTGGTGGTGGTGAGTGCCGGACCTGTCGTGTCCGTGTGGGGCAGAGGGGTCGTGCTTTTGGCCATGGGCTGAGGACTGTCGCTGCTGCGACTGCCGCTGCCGCCACCGCCGCCGCCGCTGCTGCTTGTGACATCTTGAGGGCTTCTGCTGCGGCACCTGCTGCGTCTGAAGGTGTCGTTGGTGTCGCTGCTGCTGATGATGGTGGTGGTGGTGAGGGTGGTGGTGTTGCTGGTCGTGCTCGTGATGGTGCCGCTGTGGGGCGAGTCGCTGCTCTGGCGGCTGGGACTCTTGGACGGGAGCGGGGAGGACGACGACGACGACGAGGAGGAGGAGGGGGAGGGGGGCGAGGAGGCGACGCAGGTCTCGGCACGACGACGGCGTCGTCCCTGACGCCTGTCCGAGCGGCACCATCGTTGGTCTTTGCCACCTCTCTGCACCGCCGTCATCGAGGCCGTCAATAAGTTTGCCCTCTTGAGATCGTCATCATCATCGTTGTTGTTGTTGTCATCATCATCGTTATTGTTGTTGTTGTCATCACCGTCAACGTGTTTCACCGCAATGGCACTGCCCTTAACGCCAGCGTCGCCGCCACCACCACCACCATCGGCAGCAGTGCCACCGCCGCTGCGTTTCATCTTGTCTCCTGTACAGCTCTCGGTACCACCGTCACCACCAGCACCACCACCAGCACCACCACCAGCACCACAACCACCAACACCACCACCAGCAGCACCACAGCCACCACCACCAACACCACAACCGCCACCACCAACACCACCAACACCACAACCACCACCACCGCCGTCTTCGACGTCGGGCTCGCTGAGGAGCCGTCGAAGGAGGCTCGGCTCCGGCTCTGCGCTCACCTCCACGGGCAGTCGCTCCTGCGCCAGTCCGAGCAGGAAGAGGGGCGCCCAGGCGTGGCGCGCGAGCAGCAGGCGGTCGCGGCGCGGCAGCTGCCAGAAGGAGGGCAGCGTCTTGACGAAGCGCAGCGTCTTGGCGAGCACCGCCCAGGCCGCCTGGCGCGTCGAGTGCGCCGAGCGCAGCACCAGGCGGCGCCGCTGCGCACACGCGCAGCTCGACGGCAGCGGCACCAGCGGCACCAGCGGCACCAGCGGCACCAGCAGCCCCGACTCCTCGACATCATGGACCTGCTGCTGCTGCTGTTGCAGCTGCTGGTTCTGCTGGTTCTGCTGCTGCTGCTGATGATGGTGTTGTTGATGATGATGCTGGTGGCGCTTCTGCTGCTGAAATCCAACTTCCTCATCCTCTTGCCGCTGCTGCTGCTGCTGATGATGATGATGATCAAGATGTTGATCGTTCAGATGAACCTTCTGCACCTGCAGCTGGTAGTACTGCTGCTGCTGTTGTTGCTGCTGTTGTTGCTGCTGCTGAACGTGCGTGTCCTGAACTTGTATCTGCACCTGCTGCTGATATTGCTGCTCAACATGAACTTTCTCACTCGGAGTATTTGGCTCCAACTCAGTCGTTTGCACGCGAAGGTTATGCGGCTGCTGCTGCTGTTGCTGCTGCTGCTCGATGTGCAGCCTCTGCAGGTGGATCTGCTGCTGCAGCTGCATCATCTGCTGATGGTGCTGCTGCTGCTGCTGCAGGTGGAAGGGCCACGTGTAGGGCGCTGACCGCGAGCGCGCTCCGCCGCTCCCCGCGCGCTTCTCGCTCTGCAGCAGGCGAAAGAGGATTGGGCTCCGTCGCGTCTCCTGCTGCTGCTGCTGTTGCAGCCGAGCCGGCGTGGCTGACACGGCCCGTGGACAAGCCATGTCCTGCTGCTGGAGCAGACCCACGAATACTCCTGCTGCTGATGATGCTGCTGCTGATGATGCTGCTGCTAATGATAATGATGGAACCCCAGCTACTGATGCTGCTGATGATGATGTTGACGTCAAGTATAATGATGCGAACGGTGGGGTTTCAGATGATTCAGAAGCTGCCGTTGCTGGCGATGATGATGACGATGAGGTCGATGATGATTTGCTGGGTCTTTCGCCACCACCTCCACCACTTCCACCACCACCACCTCCACCACCACCTCCACCACCACCTCTTCCACTCGCTTCAACGTCTCCTCCTGTGGCACAGCCGATGGAGCTCCGCTCGTCGTTCATGCGGGAGGCGCTCCGCGTGAGTGACACCGCCTCTCGGGCACAGGAGGTCACTGCGGGCGCTCGAGTTCCATCCGCCGCGGGCTCAGGGTGACGAGTCCTGGAGGACGACGAGGACGAGGTGGAGGCGATGGCGGTGGTGGACACGCGGTCTTCCCAGAACGTGTCCACGAGGAGCGCCAGGGCGGTCGTCTTGGCACTCACCTAGCGACGGTGAGCCATGGCTACTCGGCACGGGTCGCCTGCGTGGACAAAGACAAAAGATCCCACCCCCGGGATAGCCTCAGCAGACTGTCGGGGCAAGTGCTTGCGAGCGCGTAGCGGCCTATGAAGGAAGGCAGGCCACACGGGGGGAGCCCAGGCGCACACACAGGCGCAGACTCGCGTTCAACTGCAGCCGAAGGCAGGGGGGGGGGGGTACATGAGCCGCGTTGGCTGTGTCTGGGTGTGTGTGTGTGGCTTTCTGTGCGTGTGCTTCTCAGCGCCCGTGCCGCTTGCGAGTGTCTCTCTCTCTCTCTGCCTGGCCCGCGTCGTCTTATACCGGAGAGGGACCTTGACCGCACGGCGGCCCCACCCTCATCCCCCTGCCTCCGTCAGCCCCTCACGCCCCTCGCCTCCCCTCCCTCGTCCACACACATAGACCACCACCACCACCACCCCGCCCCGCCCCCCTCTTCCGCTCGTCCCCTCCCAGCCCACCTCGACCCAGCGCCCCCCCCCCCGGCCCAGGGCATCAATCGGCTCCCTGACAGAGGGGGGCGGGGGGCGGGGGGCGCCGCTCTCCCTCCCCCCTCACAGCGACGGCGCGCGCGCTCGATACAGCACACAACACATATACATGCATAGCACACACACACACAGCATGTACATGTATAGCACACACACTGCATGCACATGTATAGCACACACACACACAACTATACAGCATATACATGTACAGCACACACACACACAGCATGTACATGTATAGCACACACAACTATACAGCATATACATGTATAGCACACACACACACAGCATGTACATGTATAACACACACACACAACTATACAGCATACACATGTATAGCACACACACAGCATATACATGTATAGCACACACACACACAGCATGTACATGTATAACACACACACACACAGCATACACATGTATAGCACACACACAGCACGTACATGTATAGCACACACACATCATGTACATGTATAGCACACACACACACAGCATGTACATGTATAGCATACACAGCATATAGATGTATAGCACACACACACACACAGCATGCACATGTACAGCACACACACAACTATACAGCATATACATGCATAGCACACACACATTCCTATACAGCATATACATGCATAACACAAACACACACAACTATACAGCATATACATGCATAGCACACACCATATACCTATACAGCACACAAAGACAAAGATCCCCCGTATAGCCGTGACAGACTGTTAAGGCAAGTGCTGTTATCGAGTAGCACCTTTGATGGCCGGAACGGTATACGAGGGGGTGGGTGGTCAGCACCACTCCCGACCGCCTTTGTCTCCACAGAGGCGATGTTTACACACCGCACCAGGTACTCATTTGAGGCTGAGTCGACATAGGGGAGGCCCAGGACCGGTTCAGCTAATCGTCACCGGTGTTGGCCGCGAGCTGGAATCGAACTCGCGTCGCCAGGTTCGTAGCACGTTCACCGCTACACCAAAGCAAACACACGCGGAGAGCACGTGGTGGTGTTGTGGTGCACGTGGTGGTGGTGTTGTGGTGCACGTGGTGGTGTTGTGGTGCACGTGGTGGTGTTGTGGTGCACGTGGTGGTGTTGTGGTGCACGTGGTGGTGTTGTGGTGCACGTGGTGGTGTTGTGGTGCACGTGGTGGTGGTGTTGTGGTGCACGTGGTGGTGGTGTTGGGGTGCACGTGGTGGTGGTGTTGTGGTGCAAGTGGTGGTGTTGTGGTGCACGTGGTGGTGTTGTGGTGCACGTGGTGGTGTTGTGGTGCAAGTGGTGGTGGTGTTGTGGTGCACGTGGTGGTGTTGTGGTGCACGTGGTGGTGTTGTGGTGCACGTGGTGGTGGTGTGGTGCACGTGGTGGTGGTGTGGTGCACGTGGTGGTGTTGTGGTGCACGTGGTGGTGTTGTGGTGCACGTGGTGGTGGTGTTGTGGTGCACGTGGTGGTGTTGTGGTGCACGTGGTGGTGTTGTGGTGCACGTGGTGGTGGTGTGGTGCACGTGGTGGTGGTGTGGTGCACGTGGTGGTGGTGTGGTGCACGTGGTGGTGTTGTGGTGCACGTGGTGGTGTTGTGGTGCACGTGGTGGTGGTGTTGTGGTGCACGTGGTGGTGGTGTGGTGCACGTGGTGGTGGTGTGGTGCACGTGGTGGTGTTGTGGTTCACGTGGTGGTGGTGTTGTGGTGCACGTGGTGGTGTTGTGGTGCACGTGGTGGTGTTGTGGATCACGTGGTGGTGGTGTTGTGGTGCACGTGGTGGTGTTGGGGTGCACGTGGTGGTGTTGTGGTGCAAGTGGTGGTGGTGTTGTGGTGCACGTGGTGGTGTTGTGGTGCACGCGGTGGTGTTGGGGTGCGCGTGGTGGTGTTGTGGTGCACGTGGTGGTGTTGGGGTGCGCGTGGTGGTGTTGGGGTGCACGTGGTGGTGGTGTTGTGGTGCACGTGGTGGTGGTGTGGTGCACGTGGTGGTGGTGTTGTGGTGCACGTGGTGGTGTTGTGGTGCACGCGGTGGTGTTGTGGTGCAAGTGGTGGTGGTGTTGTGGTGCACGTGGTGGTGTTGTGGTGCACGTGGTGGTGGTGTTGGGGTGCGCGTGGTGGTGTTGTGGTGCACGTGGTGGTGTTGTGGTGCACGTGGTGGTGGTGTTGTGGTGCACGCGGTGGTGTTGGGGTGATCGCTGCCAGTGGACAGGGTGACCGTGACCAGGCAGGAGACCGCTGCTGCTGCTACCCTCCTTGCAGCAGGGGGCGATGTTGCTGCCGCGGAATCGCAGTGCACAATCCAAAAATGTATTTTACACCGGTGGAATCCGATAAGCTATGAAGCTCTTTTCCCCCCACAGATCTCCAGCAGTCACAGGCGCAATGGTGACTAGGATATGTTAACTGCCTCGCCTGGTCTACAGGAGGTTGTGGGTTCGATCCCGACCGTGACGCCTGCTGCTGTATATTTGAAGTGTGCGTGTCTCTCTCTCTCTCCCCGTGGTCCCGTGGATTTTTCTCCGGGTCCTCCGGTTTTTCCCTCCACATTTAGAAGCACGCGTTTAGAGTGTTCGGCTGTTATACTTTATACACGATAATTCCACTTCGTTGAGCTATTATTTGTGGCCAGGTCGCTTCTGAAAATGAGATATATAAATAGTTCAATGGGCCATACCTGGTAAAATAAATAGTTTAGTTTTAAATATTTGGCACGTGGGCCGTGACGCCGGCACACAATGGCCCACCCCTGTGGAATGACGACGTCCCTGGCTATCGAAACGTCCACGGGTTCATTCACACGCAGTGATAACCAGGGAGGCCTCCCGGAATCGAACCGCGAACCTCTGCAACAAGTGGGCCGAGTCATCATCAGTATACATCATCATCATTATTACCACCCATCGCTGCATCATCATCATCAATATTATCATCAATGACATTATCATCACCCATCGCTCCATCATCATCTATCGCTGCATCATCATCATCATCAATAACATCATCACCCATCGCTCCATCATCATCAACAATAACAACATCACCCATCGCTCCATCATCATGAACATCATTGCTTGTTGAGACACTCCACGCAGATAGATTCACGAATCCATTGTTATTCATGCACAAGTTATACATAAAAAGCAATTAACCAAAAGATGGCCAAAATAAGTTAGTAAAAATCATAAATCTGTCGATCGAGTTGGTGGCTTGGAAAGCAACCTCCCCCTAATCACATGATTTCTTATGAGAAATTCGTGTTCGGTTAACACGATTCCACCTCACACGACATTTGTTTTCAGAACCCATCCATCGTGTTAATCAGGGACTACCGGTACCGCCATCTCCTGGCCACCCCGTAAGCTGGAGTTGTCCCCAGGCAGTCCTCTCGCTCCAGTACGAACCAGCCTCAAACAACAAGCACCCTGCTTAGCTTACGAGGTCTGGAACAAAAACATCGGGCGCGTGTGATGACAGCACGTGCGCTTTCACGCGAATCAATTACAACGCCGATTGTACTGAGCGTCGCGATGAAATGTGTTTGAGTTCAAGTCTCACGATGTGCGAGAGGAACCCATATTTTTGCACCATTTATAGTCGTGCCAATGCTCAGAAACCCCCCCTGGAATAATCAACGTCGAATTCGGCCACCGAAAATCCGTGGGCTCCGTTGTTGACTCGTGCTGCATGGCTCCGAGTCTCGTGTGGGACACTTTGCAATGACACAATTACCGTCTACCGCAGCAGCAGCATCGGCGAACCGAGTAATCGCCTCGCGTGGAGAGTCACGATGAAGGCAGCAGAAAGCGGGGGGGGGGGGCATCCAAGGCTGAGAAATATTTTGTTAAATCTTTCATTTTAAAAGCGGGGGTTACATAAAACAAAGCATAAAAAAAACCGAAATGATGAGCGAAGCAAAGTGCCAACTACACCGAGCATCTTGTTTTCTCTGATCGTAAACTAAAAGAGAGAATCGCGTTCGACGCAAATGTGACGGCGACTCCATTCCTTACTTTGGAGCCCCTGCGCCGGGATTTGTGTCCGGTAGCTGCTGCCAGGGACGCACGTTGAGCAATAAATGCGTGAATGGTGGACACCGGCAAGAGGGGAAACACGGACCGAATCCCGGTTATCGGAATCGGAGTATTCATTATCATCAGCCATGGTCCATCCACTGCTGGATGAAGGCCTCCGAAAGCCACCACCGCCACCTCTATCAAGCCTACGATATAATAATCCACCTAGTACCGCCACACGAGCTCATTTCATCGCTCCATCTCCCGGGTTCACGTCCTCTCAGATGCGTTCCATTCCGTTCCGTAGCTGCCGCTCCGTGATTGTTCTCGACCAGCGGGCCTTCTGGCCGTCACGTGCCCTGCCCAGCCCCTCCCCCACTCTCTTTTCTTAACAGCTGGGACGATGACGTCTAATCCACGTGCTCTTCATTGAATTACGTGCTTCTTTCGCACCGTACGTTGCCAAACCGTGCTAATCGGAGGTGCGGGCGAAGGACAACCAAACTAAACACTAAAATAAGTTATAAATTAATGGGTTTCCATCTAGGTGATTTAAAATTGCAAAGCTCCCAGAGGATTCCGAACATCAAAAGAAAGAGCATTCCAGACGGCCGCAAATTTGGAGTTTGCATCTCTCTGCCCGTGATCGCGTGGATTCTTGTCCGGGTCCTCCGGTTTGCATCTCCATATTTCGAATCAACATCACGCGTTCAGAGTATTTGGCTGCTACTATAAATGTGAACATGATAAGCCACTTCGTTGAGCTATCATTT